TTATTACAAAAATAAAAATAATAATAATATAATAATATGTCCCTAAGAATGGCCGTAAGTGTACCGTACTCTACATTATGTGCGAGGAAGTACAGGAAGAAGAAGTTACTGTACAGCAATCAATACAAATATCAAATTAAAGATATTTTTAGAAATTCTCATAAAATTTTTAGGTAATTGCTACATTGGCAATAATTATAATTATAAAATAAAATTTCTGAGAAAAAAATGTTACTTCAAATATTTAAATAAGTGTTCTTTGTATTCCTTCGTGGAAGTTTCCTAAAATAGTTTATTTTTTAAAGCCAAATTATTTCTAAAAAGTTTAATATTTTTTTTTAAATTCCTTTTTTATCCTTTTTGAGGATATGTATGTATTTTCTAGGAAATATTACCTTTTTCAAAAAACATTCTAAAATATTTGGCCTCCTTTTAATGAATGGATCCAGGCCATTCTACAGGTGTTTACCGCGTAAAGGGAGGTACCGGCAACATATGGTGGTTCATCTGAATATGTAGTATTAGGGTTCATTTGAGACATTGAAAACCTTTCACGATGTATATTTACTGAGTTTGAGCTCAAAATCGACGTTTAAAATGATGAATTTGGGTGGGTACGTTTTCAGAATCGTGTTTTTAAATGTTAAATAACGACGACAAAAAATGTAAAAAAATCTTCAGTAAACTAACTAGTTGTTTAGGAACAGGTTGAGAAAATAACAATTATTATCAAAAAAATTAAGTAATCTTATTAAATTATTAGTTTCTATAATCTCTCATTATTCACAAAGATTTTCTGCAGATTTTCTGGAATTTTTAATGAAAAGACAACATTTGAAGAATTTGTAGAAATCTGCGAACAAATTCATAGAATATAAGAAACTCAATTTAAAGATGAAAACGAAATAATTGATTCTAACATTGATTTATCGACAAATTTGTTCCTAAACATCTAATAATTTACTGGATAATTTTTACTATTTTTCGTCTTCGTTATTTACTTATAAAAGAAAACCCGATTCTGAAAACGTACCCACCAAAATTCATGATTTTTAATGTTGACTTTGCACTCAACTCAGTAATTATACATCGTGGAAACGTTTTATATGTCATAAATGAATACTAAAAAATTTGTCCACAATACTGCATACTCAATTCAACCACCATACATTGCCGGTCACTCCCTTTAAAGGTGTTCATAAAAATTCGGGATCTTTGACTTTTAAGCGGTATTCATAGGCTTTTGTAGTGTACCTAATTCCTAAAAATGGGAAAGATGGGATATTGTATGTGTTTCCAAATTTGGGAGCAATCCCTTTAAAACTATGATTACGTACTTCATGTAGGATTCCACTGATTCTTCTGTCCTCTCGTTAGTCCTCCTTTCACCAGTAATCTCCTTTCTTACCTTTCATTATTAAATTGTATTTTATTCAAAATAATCTCTTATTGAGAATATAGGGTTTTACCCAGAAATCAGTGAAATGAAAGTCGTCTTACTTCTCTCTTTTTGTTTTGAAGTATCGCTTAAGATTATCTAATCTTTATCAAATTATTTCTAAGCAATTTCTCTGTTCTCTCATTGGTCAAACGCTAAATTCCTTGGCTTCTGATTGGCTGGATACTAGATAACTGATAAAAATTAAATTAATCTGTAGATTAACAATACAGAATTGTTCCCACCCCCTGAACATTTTAGAATCATGTCAGTTAAAACAAAATATAAACTACAACATTATTGGCGACATTTCTTAATAAAGATATAGAATTAAAATTAACGACTATACTAGACAAGAACTCCATTGTTCAGAGCTACTGAATTTTATATAATAAAAAGATGGAACTATGACCAGAATATTTCATTGATTTTTTATGTGAATGATGGATCCCATGTCAGGCTTCGACATCCGTCTTGTGTTTACATTAGCGCCCAGAGACAGTACACTGCAGTACTAAATATGTGTATACTTCTGAAATGACTTTCCTTGCCTTACATCCTTGACTACTCTTTTCGACGAGGATGACATTATTAAAAAGATTGACAAGATGAAACCAATGACTTCTCCCGGTTTTGATGTTATCACTTCTACAATACTTAAGGAATTAAAAAACATTATTTGCAAACCTCTAGCCGTAGTTTTTAACAAATCCTTGAGTGAAAGCTATGTCCCTGAGTACTGGAGACTATAAGCCATTAATGGGACTCCAAATAAAAATGTCCTTTATTTTCAATCTTGATGCACTAGATATGCGTAAATATTGAATATGATATTTTCTGCATATTAATGTGATATATGCAGTATGCACCCTTATCTGAAATTTCTTTATATACACTAAACCCTAAATAAGCCATACATCGAAAGAATTTAGCAAATGTCGTATTCTTCACTTTCTGTTAATGGAACGTTGCAGATATTTAGTTTTTTAATTAAATAATTATATAGAGCTCTTTAAAACTGTTCCCGTATGTTCATGGCTATTTATTTATTTTTGCAAATACTGAGATTTACGTAAAATAGTAAAAAACCCATTGAAAAATTGTCAAGACGAAATTTGATAAATTCTTTTGATGTATGGCTCATTTAAGGTTTAATTGTACTCCGCCAGGAGTCCTGAAAAAAATCCAAACATAAACACCTTAGCAAAAGAACCGAGTAGTATAGGACGCAAATTAAACTGATGGTAATCAGAATAATAAACCTAAAATCAGAATAATAAACCTAAAATAAAGTTACAAATTATTTTTTCTTATCATTTCAAAATTTTGAGAAAATGTTTCTGTATCTTACCAAAACCAAAGAAAAATAAAAATCTTCTCATTCAAAATATTAGCCGCCATGATGCACACAAAGTTCTTATACTGGTAAAAAAAATATATATATATTGTTCAAAGAATTGTAACTACTGAGGATCGTCATGATAGACGTGAAACATTATGTTTAGTATAATTCATTTTTTAATAAAATGTGAAGTTAAAAACAGAAATATATATATATATATATTTATATATATTTAATGGAATTTTTGTTTTCTTCAAAAAATATTAAAAGTAATTAATGATAAATACATTGCCCATTTTTAAATGAAAACGACAACAACAACGAAAGCAATTGATGCTTTGAAAAGTGGCTTGATGATGATTGAAAATTGGCTTTGACGCAAGTTCATCATTGATTATATTGACCCCCCCGAAAAATTATTTTTAAATTGAAGAAATTAATCGGAATAGTTTCCTGCATGCACTAAAATACCAAGTTTTAAACCAAGATTTAGTTAAGTAAAAAATTATTAGGTTTTAAGTTAATCTATACTTGGTATCATTATTTGATGATACTTTTCTTTGTGGATGCAATAAACTGAAATAAAAATAATCTTTTAATGTTTTATCTTATGCCCTTTTAAGATTTATCAATGCAGTCATAACAGCTGTAAAAATCAAATTGCAAGTGTTTAATTTAAAATTGTTGCGCCAAAGATTTGTAAAATTCTGAAAATGTGCTCTGAATATTTTCAGAGATATATCAGTCGTAGCTGTTACTAATTGCAAAATCTTAAACAACTTTCACTTGTTTATTTTTACTAAATAGTTAAATTAAATGTAAAAATTTAAAAAATGGTATATCATAAACCATCAGAAAATTATTTTTACTTCGGTGTAAAGTGCAAATCAACTATTGAATTTGAATTATCAAAAAAATGTCTATTACTTGAACAACACCCCCTGTTCCAAAATCTGTCCAAACACAAGCTGTCATTCTAGACATAATTTTATTTTGAAATGAACTCCTTATGCTTTCAATGAAAACTTTGCCATTACGATGCAGGTTCGTAACTTGGGGGAGGGTTCACGGCGCACGTGGACCCCCTTCATGGTAAACGGGGCGCGCGAAGCTGCCGGCTATTAATGTTGATACAGTTGCCGTCAAGGAATTTTTACAAAATTAAACATCCACTGCGATTTTAAAAACTTGTGAAAAGGAAAAAAAATTTAACGTTAATAATCTCTTTGAAGACAATGAGAAATAAACTTTTGTTGGGAAAGAAATCCCCCTTTTTCTCAATTTTTATAGTCTAATTGCACTAGAAGAACAGAGTAAAGATTTCTATTGTGATTTAATAACGATAGAGAAGCTTCTCTTTTGCCAATGAGGTTAACTAAAGAAGTGGTTCAACTTAACGTTTGATCAATTCAAATGCTTCCTGGTATTTATAAATTCCTACCTCAGAACATAAAAATTATACTGTTTGATTAATAAGAAAAATTGTAAGAAACTTTGGAATTGAGTTTTTGTCACAAACTCAAATTTTCCAATTCCTATAACTTTGAATCCTGATGATGTAAGCCTGTTATATTTCAAATTTAGCTTCATTGATCTTACAGAATTTATAGTTTGAAATATCTAAGGTCTACGACATTAGGTTGCAAGGATATGGGGGTTAGAAAATATGAGTTTGCTGCAAAAACTCAATTCCTTTAACGTTGGTGTTTGAATTTTTTCCTTTAGCATATTTTATTTTCATAATTGATGTTTTTTTTTATAATTTTCTCAATTAATAAGTATTGTATAATATGTATTCACAAATGGCAGTTTGTATAATATAGGTGTCGACAAAACCTTGTTTTACTATTATGTAAATAAATTACTACCTTGGAAAAATATCTCGCAGCACTCTGTTCTCCATTGAGAAATGCTCTTTTATCCATCTTTAAATATTATTAATATACAAATATATTATTATCTAATTTATTTGGGGTTTTTAAAAAAATAAGATTTATTTTTTATTTAATATAAATAGTCAACATTCAATATTTAACATTGTATTTAATCGTATTTAACACCTGACTCCAAGAGTCCTAAACTTGCTCTGAAATTTCAGTCAAAAATTTGCATATTTGAAACAACGAGTAAAAAAAAGAAACTTCTGTTATCCTCTCTCTGTAGGACAAATGATATGTAGGACAAGTAATGAGTAGGACTATGAAGTGTAAGACAAATGATGTTTCCCTCTCGGTGTAGGACAAAAGATTGTAGGACAACTGATTGTAGGACAATGATTGTAGGACAAATGATTGTAGCACAACTGAATGTAGGACAAATGATTGTAGGACAACTGATTGTAGGACAATGATTGTAGGACAAATGATTGCAAATGAATTGTAGGACAAATGATTGTAGGACAAATGATTGTAGGACAAATGATTGTAGGACAAATGATTGTAGCACAACTGAATGTAGGACAAATGATTGTAGGACAACTGATTGTAGGACAATGATTGTAGGACAAATGATTGCAAGGACAAATGATTGTAGGACAAATGATTGTAGGACAAATGATTGTAGGACAATGATTGTAGGACAAATAGTTGTAGGACAACTGATTGTAGTACAAATGATTGTAGGACAATGATTGTAGGACAATGACTGTAGGACAAATGATTGTAGGACAAATGATTGTAGGACAATGAGTGTAGGACAAATAATTGTAGAACAACTGATTGTAGGACAAATGATTGTAGGACAATGATTGTAGGACAAATGATTGTAGGACAATGATTGTAGGACAAATGATTGTAGGACAAATAATTGTAGGACAAATGATAATGATTGTAGGACAAATAATTGTAGGACAACTGATTGTAGGACAGCTGATTGTAGGACAAATGATTGTAGGTCAAGTGATTGTAGGACAAATGATTGTAGGACAAATGATTGTAGGACAAATGATTGTAGGACAAGTGATTGTAGGACACATGATTGTAGGACAAATGATTGTAGGACAACTGATTGTAGGACAAATGATTGTAGGACAACTGATTGTAGGACAAATGATTGTAGGACAAGTGATTGTAGGACAAATGATTGTAGGACAATGATTGTAGGACAAATAATTGTAGGAAAACTGATTGTAGGACAAATGATTGTAGGACAATTATTGTAGGAAAACTGATTGTAGGACAAATGATTGTAGGACGAATGATAATAGGACAAATGATTGTAGGACAAATAATTGTAGGGCAAATGATTGAAGGACAAATGATTGTAGGAAAAATGATTGTAGGACAAATGATTGTAGGACAAATGATTGTAGGACAATGATTGTAGGACAAATGATTGTAGGACAAATGATTGTAGGAAAACTGATTGTAGGACAAATGACTGTAGGACAATGATTGTGGGACAAATGATTGTAGGAAAAATGGACAAAAATCAATTGCAATTTCAAACTGAAATTTTCCTTGAATACAATATCCAGGAACACAAAGTTAAAGATGACATTTATCAAACTCAAAACCTAGAATACTGAAAAGCTAATGGAAGGCCACAATTTTAAAATCCCAAGACCACAATAACCATGTTCACGCCGTGCAGACTAAAAACAGGTTTAAAGTAAGCATTTTAATTTCCATGTTTATTGTTCAATAATGTACTTTCAATTTCTACAAGAAAAATAACCATAAGAAAAAAAATACTATTTAAAGAAGTTCCTGGAAAAAAAGTCACAGAAAAAAAAATAAGAAGTGAATACTAATACTAATACTAATACTAAGAAGGGTTTTTATTGCTTTAGAGGGAGGACCAACAAGTTTCTAACTAAAAAAAAATACAATCAATTTGAGTTTATTTGTGAAAAAAACTCCCCTTTCAGTGCATGGTCTCAGTGGGCTGTCCAATTTTCTATGATTTTTTTCCCTATGACTTAAATGAATAAAAATTCATGACTTTATTTTCTTCTAAATAATTTGTTGTACACATGTCCATGACTTTTGCCATTGGACTTTTTTAGTGCCAGCAATCAGTTTTTTTTCCCCAAAAACTCTTTGATTGTGATTTTTTTTTGGATGTTACCAGATGACAGCTGTACAAAGAAATGAATTACCAAACAAAAGAAGAATCCGTACGCATATTTTGCATGGCCTGAGGACTGAAAAAAAATTTTTATCGTTTGCTGGAAAATAAATAAAATCTAAATGAATTTATAAATACCTTGTTTTGTCGATGAATGAATTTTGAAATGTTTTTTATTGTTGATTTTTGTTCTTTATCTTCGGAGATTCTAAACAAGGAATTAGAAAACTGTTTTTTATTTCCGGGAAAAGCGAATTTTCGCTTTCGAGACTGAAAAAGGCAAACAATATTTTCTAAAAGCTTAAAGATAGAAAATGTCAATTTTTTTTGTACGTATTCATAAAATATAAACAAAATGAAAGGAATTGAGTTTTTGCCACAAAATCTTATTTTCTAGTCCCTTTAATTTTGCATCCCGATAAATTGACCTTTGATATTTCTAACTATATATTCTGTTAGATCAAATAATCTAAGTTTGAAACATCTAAGGTCTATATATCATCAGTTTGCAAAGGTAAAGGGATAAGAAAAGTTGAGTTTGTGGCAAACTGGCGATTTGTTTCCAAAATGTTTGAAAGGAACTCCCTAAAAATTTATATTTTAATTCTCGTAAACTGTAAAGATGTAATTGGGAAGTACAATGCTCTTAAAAGTGTACTGCACTGAAAAGTGTACTGCTCCGTACATTGATGTCCCAATCCGTACACCATCTGTAATACTCTTCATCTTCCCTTCTTCAATTATCTCCCAAATCCTAAATATGTACATTGTACAAGCATAACAAATATGTTCGTGTACATAGAATAAACATAACGAATATGTTATATTCCATAGTACGAACATAACGAATATGTTTATGCATATAGTACAAACATAACGAATATGTTTATAAATATAGTAGAAACATTTCGAATATGTTCATGCATATAGTAAACACATAACGAATATGTTCATGTACACAGTACATACATAACTAATATGTTCATGTACACAGTACACACAAAACAAATATGTACTTGTACATAGTAAATATGTCTCCTGTTAATAAAAATGTATTATAAAAACAAAAATAAGTTCAAAACTTCAAACGAAAACTTAAGCCCACGTTAAAACTACAATGTAAACAAGTAGTTGTACAAAACTGTAAATAAGTTATTTGCTCTATAGTAAATCATAAATTGAAGGCATAGATAGATTTTATTAATTCGTTCTTTATATATATATATGTATTTACAATCTAAGTCTATTAATTGTACAGTTATCAGATCTGATCTTACTTGTGTGGAATGATGAAAACAAGACCCTGGAACATGAGGATAAATGGAACCCATTGATAATAGGACTGAGTTTCAGCACACATTCCCAGATTCACATCTAGACATATAATCCTATACTCATGTACTCCTGTACTCCTGTACTCCTGTACTCCTGTACTTCTCTACTCCTGTACTCCTGTACTCCTGTACTCCTGTACATCTCTACTCATGTACTCCTGTACTCCTGTACTCCTGTACTCCTGTACTCCTGTACTCCTATACTTCTGTACTCCTGAACTCCTGTACTCCTGTACTTCTGTACTCCTGTACTCCTGTAATCCTGTACTCCTGTACTCCTGTACTCCTGTACTCCTGTACTCCTGTACTCCTGTACTTCTGTACTCCTGTACTTGTGCATTGTTTTCTGGTTATCACATCACTGCACATAAAGTTAAAAACTTCCTACCGTTGGAACCTTTATTTCTCTCGTCACATGTTTCATCTTCTCTAGCACTAGGAAAGAGAAATTAAATTTTTTTACAAATTTTAAAATGATCTAGACAATTCTTATAGGACAATTTAATATCTGAGAAATTACCACATGCATAAGCCCAAAAATGAAAAATTTAAAAAACTTTAATTTTGCACCACTTTTTCTTAGGAATTTTGTTTTTAAAAACATATAAAAAATATCAAAGTTGAACAAGTCAAGGCCAAAAAAATGGAAAAATGCTTTTAATATTATTCAAATTTTTTTTCAATTTCCAATTTAATTCTACTAGTAGGCGATGGGTTGATTTCTACAAAGAAGTAAAGAATCAATCAACCCATAACCTGCCATGTATGTTTCAATGATTATAGCTTGCCAAACCTTAATTCTTTTGAATCAATACTTTTAAGCAAATGTCTTCACAACTAATTCTAGTGATCTTATTAAGATTTTAAATTATACAACGCTTTTAGTTTACAATGTGTTTAAGAATTCAGTTAAACTTTTTAATTTCCATCTAAACTTACCATTCAAGAATAGTTTTTTCATCAGGCATTAAACACTTCTGTATTCCCATTTAAATTAAATTAGAAAAACACAATATTAAAAAATAACTTTTAAATAAAATTTTTTTTGTGTGAATTTTTTCAATGGATTCCTTGTAAGGTCCGATTCCGACAGTATTTTCATCTAATCCAACACTAGAAAATAAGTTTTATCAGCTGTTTAAACATGGCGGAGATTGTTTTCATCCAACACTGATGGATGCTTTTTTAAATAACTTAATCGTATAGTACATGGTTTCTGATAGGAAGTAAAGCTTAGTACATGGTTTCACATAGGATGTAAAGCTCAGTAAATGGTTTCATTTAGGATGTAAAGTGTAGTACAGGGTTTCTTATAAGAAGTAAAGCATATTAATGGGTCTGATAGGTTGTAAAGCATGGCATATGATTTATGATAGGTGCAAAGCGTAGTACGTGGTTTATGATAGGATGTAAAGCGTAGTAAATGGTTTCTGATAGGATGTAAAGTGTAGTACATGGTTTCATACAGGATGTAAAGCTTAGTGAATGGGTATTATAGAATGTAAAGCATATTACATGGTTTTTTTTACAGGATGTAAAGCATTGTTCATGGTTTCATATAGGATGTAAAGTGTAGTAAATGGTTTCTTATAGAATGTAAAGCATAGTACATGGTGTAGTACAGTACAGGATGTAAATCATAGTAAATGGTTTCTTATAAGAAGTAAAGCGTAGTAAATGGTTTCTGATAGGAATACAGCGGGTTCAGCGACAAAGGGTCAAACGACTAATAGTAAAACGACCCAGGGTCAAACGACATAGGGTCAAATGACCTAGGGTCCAACGACCTAGGGTCAAACGGCATAGAGTCAAACGACATAGGGTCAAACGACATAGAGTCAAAAGACAATCGGTTATATAGGCGAAAAAAGGGTAAAACGACAAAGGGTCAAAATGGAAAAAAAAATTTTTATATATTGTTTCAGGGTTAAGACCATTTTTAGGCCGAGCGCTGCGGCTATTGGTTCAAGTGAACATAAAACATATCATAGAATAATGTATTATTTCAGGGTTAGGTTAGGTTAAAACAATTTCTGGGCCGAGCGCTGCGGCTAGGACAGACTAGGGGCCAAGCGCTGCGGCTACTAGTTCTAATGAACATAAAAATAGTACAAATTAACCAAAAATAGTCTAAATGAAATTTTGCCAGTTTGTCGCACTTTTTGACCCTATGTCGCGTTTTTGACCGTTTGTCGTATGACCTTAGGTCGTTTAACCCTATGGTATTTGACCCTATATTGGGGAATCATACAGCATATAGTACATAGTATTTGTTAGGATTAGGAATGCAGTGTAGTTCATGGTATATGATATAGGAATACAGTGTAGTTCATGGTATCAGAAGTAAGACACAGTAAGTATAGTTTTTCATAGTATAGTTTTAAAGCTTATTTGTAAATAAAGGTTATATGTATATGTTTACCTATCCTGGAACAATATATGTACATGTTTACCTATCTGGAACAATATATGTACATGTTTACCTGTCTGGAACAATATATGTACATGTTTACCTGTCTGGAACAATAAATTTACATGTTTACCTGTCTGGAACAATATATGTACATGTTTACCTGTCTGGAACAATATATTTAAATGTTTACCTATCAGGAACAATATATGTACCACTGACCCAGCAGTACTGCTCTATGGCCTGGGAAGCTCCTGATCATAAATTGTACATGATATGTTATGTATTGTGTACACTGTACAAAAAATAATGTATGATAATGTAACTTTAGTTACTATGTCCAATATACTGGGGGATCCATAAAATATGGGAATTTAATGAGAAATGACGACCTAAAATTATCTAAAGGAACCAAAATCAAGGTTGAATTGGTTGTTATAGTATTTTGTTTTTAAATGTTGTTTTTCAAGTTAATTATTTAACTTTGCATATCAAGTATTTTTATTTTGACCAGCTATAAACCTTCCCGGGGTCATATATCAGATTTTTTTTGGCTCAAATCGGTTAAAGTTTAAATCTTTTTTGACGTTTAATGGATACAAAGAGACAAGTCAAAGGATTTGAGTCTTTGCCACAAACTCTGATTTTCTAATCCCTATTTATATGCAGCCTAATGTCGTAGACCTTGTATTTTTGATACTATGCATTATGTTAGATCAAATTATCTAAGTTTGAAATATCAAAGTTTGAAAAATTTGGGTTTGTGGCTGTGGCAAAAACTTAATTCCTGTAATTCCTTTATACAGAAGTAGATTTTAATAAATTACATGAATACTTTCTACCTCCAGAGTTTGAATGACACTGAATCTCCTGCAATGAAAAAGATGTAAAAATTTGTTTCTTATTACAATTTTAAAAGAAGCACAATTTCGGCTGAAAGAGTACCACAGTTTTCATAAATAAATCTTTCAAACCGCAAAGTTGGTATATAGACTATTAAGTATTTATATTTACTTTTGAAAACGGTCGGCTTACCTTTCCAAATAGATCGTTTAAGCCAAGGAGGGCAGTCGCTGAAAATTATTATTAAAATTTAAATTTAAAATTTTCAAATTTAAAATATATTTTTATGTTTGTCTACCTAGGAATAAGAAACCACTAGTAAAGCTGTAATGAAGACGGAATGGAATATTGTCAATACGAGCAGAACCTGGATAATAGAAATATACAGGGTGTTCCAGAACCTGGACAATGGAAATATACAGGGTGTTCCAGAACCTAGATAATGGAAATATATAGGGTGTTCCAGAACCTGGATAATGGAAATATACAGGGTGTTCCAGAACCTGGATAATGGAAATATACAGGGTGTTCCAGAACCTGGATAATGGAAATATACAGGGTGTTCCAGAACCTGGATAATGGAAATATATAGGGTGTTCCAGACCCTGGATAATGCAAATATACAGTGTGTTCCAGAACCTGGATAATGGAAATATACAGGGTGTTCCAGAACCTGGATAATGGAAATATACAAGGTGTTCCAGAACCTGGATAATGGAAATATATAGGGTGTTCCAGACCCTGGATAATGCAAATATACAGTGTGTTCCAGAACCTGGATAATGGAAATATATAGGGTGTTCCAGAACCTGGATAATGGACATATACAGGGTGTTCCAGAACCTGGTTATTGGAAATATACAAGGTGTTCCAGAACCTGGATAATGGAAATATATAGGGTGTTCCAGAACCTGGATAATGCAAATATACAGAATGTTCCAGACCCTGGATAGTGCAAATATACAGGGTGTTCCAGAACCTGGATAATGGAAATATATAGGGTGTTCCAGAACCTGGATAATGGAAATATACAAGGTGTTCCAGAACCTAGATAATGGAAATATACAGGGTGTTCCAGAACCTGAATAATGGAAATATACAAGGTGTTCCAGAACCTGGATAATGGAAATATATAGGGTGTTCCAGAACCTGGATAATGCAAATATACAGTGTGTTCCAGAACCTGGATAATGCAAATATATAGGGTGTTCCAGAACCTGGATAATGGAAATATACAGGGTGTTCCAGAACCTGGATAATGGAAATATACAGGGTGTTCCAGAACCTGGATAATGGAAATATACAGGGTGTTCCAGAACCTGGATAATGGAAATATATAGGGTGTGTTCCAGAACCTGGATAATGCAAATATACAGGGTGTTCCAGAACCTGGATAATGTAAATATACAGGGTGTTCCAGAACCTGGATAATGGAAATAAACAGGGTGTTCCAGAACCTGGATAATGGAAATATACAGGGTGTTCCAGAACCTGGATAATACAAATATACAGGGTGTTCCAGAACCTGGATTATACAAATATACAGGGTGTTCCAGAAAACCGCAAATAAAGGTCCAAAAACACACTTGAAATGGGATTTTTTAAATTGACACAATTTACGTTGAATGTGCAATGACGATTTGATTATTATATAGTTTCTAAGTAGAACACATAAATTTTGACATTTACAGAAATTCTTTTTGCAAAATTTTCGTTATATTTACATTTTTATTAAAAAAGGTCACTATTGTACCTTTGTTTGGGGCGTACACTATGTAAACTATATAAAGAAAAATTTGAAAATATTTTCATTAAAATTATTTGAAAATACTTTACCATAGTCCCTTGACTTAAAGAATCCAGCAAATCCTGTTTCAGTAACAATTAAAAAGATAAAGTTTTTTTCTATTTTTTTCTAGATATTTATTTATGTATCGAGGTTACTACATTTTTACACAATTATTTATATGGATTAAACAAAGGACTATTTTACGAAGTTATCGTGTACATACAACTTTTGTAAATTAATTAAGAAGAAATCAATTATTTTACGGATACATTTTTACGTTTTTTCTTGCAAAAATTGGTGATAAATTTATATTCGAGTATAGTAGATAAAGTTTTTAATCTACATTTTTCTAATTAATATTTTCAATCTACATTTTTCTAATTAATATTTTTAAAAAAAACTTTTTTTATTCATTTATTAACTTTTTATTTTGTTCCTAAAGCTGTGCCAAATAAATTCATGTTATGAGAAGGAAGTTATAATAAACTGTTGAATACTAGTAAATAGTAATATTTTAATCAATGTTTAGATATTTAATTGAATAAATTGATAAGAAACCACTCGGCATGCAGCTTTCCAACATTTTTGAATGTAATAAAAACAAATTTAAACCAATTTTAAAAATCCAAGTTTTTAAAATAATTCTTTTCCTTTGAATGATTATATGAGATGCCACAAAAAATTTGGGCCCAATCACTTCAACCGTTACAAAAAAACCAAAACACAGACCTGGGACCAAAAAAACACTTATTAACAATCCAAACTTTTCCTTCTTTTCTAAATCAACAAAATATTACTATCTTTAAATTTGCCCTGCATTTGGCAATCTGCAAAAAGCAGGCTATACACAGTCGATATAGAACCAGTAAAGAGGAAGGATTCAAGATGTAACTCCTACAAAGAAGAAAAGAACTGTTCGACCCGCGTACCACCCTCGCAGTCAAAGCGAGTGCAAAGAACCCTATATTCTTTATGTGACCAGATCTGATCAATATATACTTCTTTAATTTGCAACCACATCAATTCATGAGAGAGAGAGAACATCATATTGCTGGTTAAAGATTAAGAAGTACATCATATTTCTGGTTATATATATCCTACCATCTCAAGCTACCCTCCCCAACTCAACTTCCAAAATACCTTACACGCCAAATTCATATATTCAACTCATTTTCTGAGACAGGGTTAAATGCTTACCCGGAAATTTTTTTACGACATTTGTATAAAAATCATCAGATTTTCTTTGGTTTTGACAAGTAGATTAAATACGAGGAAATTGTCTGTGAATCTACCTGATATTAATCTTTTTCATATATTTTATAACGTTTCCCCATGCAGGCTGGGATCATTCAAGGGACTGTTTAAGCAACATTTCTAGTGACCTTCCATTTATAGAGAGGCATGTCTGATTCACAAGGGTACCCTTTAAACCTTTGTCTGGACAACAACAAAACCTTGATCAAACAAAGGTTTAAAGGGTATCGTTGTAAATCAGACATTCGACTCTATAAATGGAAGGTCACTTGAAATTATGCTTACAGTCCCTTTAATATCAACAATGTTAAAAGGTTTTGGCCCTCTGATCCTCTGAATGTAAATCCAAAGATAAGTTATAGAGTTGGGAATTTATAAACGAAAGAGTGGTAGTTTGACTAGATACAACTAGTTCAATTAACTCTCTGTGCTGTAGAGATAACTTAAACCAGCGCAGGAGAAGTACTTAAAGTGAAATTCACAAAGAAATTTATTGACAATTAATCAGGCGACTTTATAATCGTCTTTGATATTTGAAATTATTTGCAGTATTCGTTTGTCACACTAATTTTACAAGATAGGATTCCTGAAATAATAATTATAAAATAGTCCATGTACAAAATGAGGGCTGCCTCTTTTGTGCTTTCATCACCATTAGAGAAATCAATGATGTCATTCAAAATTAAATCTAAACCAAATTCTCTTTTAATCCTTAATGTTCAAAAAAGGCAGACCACAATTTGGAAATGGCAGGACTAAGGTTATTTTGAATTTTTTTTTTTTGTAGAAGTATACTTAGCCATATGGACATAAGATTTCTCTTAAACTCGTCTCTCTGTTGTGAAGAAATTCCAATAACTTATTAAGTAACTCTGACCAAGTGCACAACTGGGTATAGTTAGTAAAAAAACTTATTTTTATAATTTGAATAATAATATGCTATAAAGTGAGTTTGCATGAACTCTGACCAAGTGCACAACTGGGTATAGTTAGTAAAAAAAACTTATTTTTATAATTCAAATAATAATATGCTATAAAGTGAGTTTGTATGAACTCTGACCAAGTGCACAACTAGGTATAGTTAGTAAAAAAACTTATTTTTATAATTTGAATAATAATATGCTATAAAGTGAGTTTGTATAAACTCTGACCAAGTGCACAACTGGGTATAGTTAGTAAAAAAACTTATTTTTATAATTTGAATAATAATATGCTATAAAGTGAGTTTGTATAAACTCTGACCAAGTGCACAACTGGGTATAGTTAGTAAATGAAATACTTATTTTTATAATTTGAATAACAATATGCTATAAAGTGAGTTTGTATGAACTCTGACCAAGTGCACAACTGGGTATAGTTAGTAAATGAAATACTTATTTTTATAATTTGAATAATAATATGGTATAAAGTGAGTTTGTATGAACTCTGACCAAGTGCACAACTGGGTATAGTTAGTAAAAAAAACATATTTTTATAATTTTAGTAATAATATGCTATAAAGTGAGTTTGTATGAACTCTGACCAAGTGCACAACTGGGTATAGTTAGTAAAAAAAGCATATTTTTATAATTTTAGTAATAATATGCTATAAAGTGAGTTTGTATGAACTCTGACCAAGTGCACAACTGGGTATAGTTAGTAAAAAAAACATATTTTTATAATTTTAATAACAATATGCTATAAAGTGAGTTTGTATAAACTCTGACCAAGTGCACAACTGGGTATAGTTAGTAAAAAAAACATATTTTTATAATTTGAATAATAATATGCTATAAAGTGAGTTTGCATGAACTCTTTGTTATGAAATGACGAGAAAAATCAAACATTAAATTATATAAAAGAATTATTTTATTTTATTCCTTCATATTAATCTATTTGCATTCGCTGGATCATCTTTAGTCTCAATCAGAAACAAACCTTCCTCTTGCTTTGCTCCTTCCCCAGGAATAATGTCAGATCTGAACTCAGGAGCAGGCTCAGGAACAGGTTCAGGTTCTGGAACAGGTTCAGGTTCAGGAACAGGTTCAGGAACAGCTACTGGGAACACTTCTTTAGGTTCAGGTTCCAAATAAGGATCTGGTTCATTTTCATCCTGAACAAAAAGAAGGATTTTTTGACTGTTTTAAAACAAAATTTAAATCTAAAAATATGTTACATAAGGTTTTTTTTATTTTTCTTGAAAAATTTTATTCTTTTGTTATGCTTTTATAATGTTAATAATTACCATTGTTTCGATGAGAAATTTTTTTGGCTTGGCATTTGCACATGAAAAGATTGCAAGGAGACAGAAGCAAATAAGTTTCATTTTTCCAAGAGGAGCAAACTAAAAATAATAAACATTTGAACAATATTTCATTCTTTTTTGATATCGTTGCGTCATCAGGTTCAAACCAAATAGAAAACTCAGGAATTAATAAATTAAAAAATGATCTAGTTTTTTCCTACAAATCTTGTTTTTTTACCGTTGAAATTTAATCCTTTGTCGATTTTATTATAAATGTTTAAGGTTGAATTAACTGCATAAATACCATATCAAATATGTAAAACAACTGGTTATTCGCCTCAAACTCTAATTTCTCAACCAACATATTTTTTTGTAACTTGATAGTGTAAACATTTGACATTTTAATCTTTGACTTTTTGATTAAGAGAATTCATATTTTAGAATATCTTCTACAATTAGAAAGTAAAGGGTTGAGGCAAATAAGAAGTTCCTATTCACCCTAAACAGGCGGGGGGGGGGGGGGGGCTTTTTTCCCCTAGCACTCTCATTTTTGACACTATCACCGTGAAATTTTGTGACTTTTAATGAACAGCAATTTGAAGGATGTTTTGTAAAAAAAATTTTATTTTTATTTATAGGGTATGGTACAGAACAGAAAAAAAGTCCGGTCTGTGAAAAAAAATCTATAATAGCCAATAACTTTACATATTCTCTATGGCCTTTTTCTAGGGGGGGGGGGGGCGCCAAACGCCCCCCCCCTCAGACTTTACATAGATTCAGACCCCCCAGCCTTTATAGGGTTAAATATAAATTTAAAATGTTTTAGAACTAATATAATCGAAATTTGAAATAGAAAGAAGAAATATAATAAATGTACATCTATCTACATATTTGAACTTGTCAAAATTTTTGAAATTTCTTAAAATCCCAAAAATGCCCTACTTAGCTCTGAGCTTCATAAAACTATTAGATCTATAACTTAACTATAAACTTACTGTAAGTTTTTAACTAGACCAAGTGTTACTATAAACCGTTGGTTTATTATCTGTGTCAATGTTTTCATTGAAACAATTTTTTTGTCTGTACTTTTACAGCATTTTAAAAGTGAGCAAAACCTTTCCTCCTTACTTCTATCCTTGTTGGTATCACATTGTAATTATTTACAAATACGTTACAGGGAAGTAAATTTTACTTTAACAAGTGTTCTTAAGAAGAATAGTTCAAGAAAACCCGGTGTTAAATAAAAATTTGAGTTTTCTGAAAAAGTATTCAAATAAAATGAGATGAAAATGAACGAAGGTTATCACAAAAACTTTGAAGAGTGAGATGTTATTCAATTCAACTTAATACTCAGCTGTTGGGCGAATCATGGGTCGGTAGTGCTCTGCTCAAAAGGCGTTAAAAAATCTACGAGTCCGATATTATTTTCTTAAAAATTTACAAGATTTAATAATCCTTACCTATGGGAGAATAATGCTCGACTGAAGTTCAGGAATTAAAAGAAGAAAAAGAAAATATTTAAAGAGAAATGTAAATAAACCAATTATAATCTTTAAATTTCAAAACAAACAAAAAATTGGATATCAATTTATATTCAACTCTCGTACGTCAATTTTCTTTCTTTTATGATTAAAAACATTTATATAATGATTTAATATTAAAAAAGATTCAGAAAAAATTAACTAGTTGAAACAATTTTCTTTTTTTAATACAATTATAATTTTACGTTTATAGATATATTTCAAGGTAATCATAAAAATATCCTACGACAGGTACACGACACGTATTTTCAAGTAACACTAAATTTATAGAGATTGTATGTTCTATTCACAACGATACCCTTTAAACATTTATCTTATCAAGGAATAATTAAATGTCCTTCTTTATTTCTTGGATTTTAAAAAATTGTGGCATCCCTATAAAAGAGCCTTGCGCATTCATGGTACATAGACAATAAAGAAAATTGTCAGAATTCATCCTGTTATAAGATAGAACAAACAACGTCAACTTCCTCATTGTCTTATAGAGGTTTAAAGGGAGTGACCGGTAATGAATGGTACAGGGTGTCCCAATAAACATGGGAATTCAGTGACGAATTCGATATCGTCTTTTCAAATAACTCTTTGATTTAGTATAGTGATACCTACTGAGAAAGCTGTAATCTGTAAGAGTTTTGTCTGCTATGTTCACATTTTGATTGTTTATGTTTTGACTGCATACGGTTGTACTTAGTAAAACAAGAAAATTGCAGTATATACAAACAGAGTAAACTTGTCCGTCTTCACTGTTCATCTTGCGGAGACATTATAGACACATCTTTACAGTGTTTTACCCTTTTCATAAAATAAACTCAAGCAGACATAATAATATTATGGCTTTAGAAGTTAGGTATTACAATGCTAATTCATAACAAAGACGATATCCAATTCGTCACTGAATTCCCATGTTTTTTGGGACACCCTGTAGTTGAACTGAGATTGCAGTATTATTGAGAAATTTTTTAGGATTCATTTGATATGCACCGTAAAAACGTCTGATAGGTCTTAAATGAATCCTAAAAAAATTACTAATAATACTGCAATCTCAGTTCAACTACCATACATGGCCGGTCACTCCCTTTAAAGTGTACTTGAAGGGTCACCGGAAATTACGTTGTGCATATCACTTTGAAAAGAAAATGTATTGTATTTAGTTATGTAATGTGACGGTAAAATGAATTATAAAGTAGCTATGAAAATATCTACAGATTCATGCTATAAATGAAAAAAGAAAATAATTAATTGAACAGTTGGAAAACATTTTCCAGTTATTTTAGAAAAAGATGTTCATAGTTATTATAAAGTTAATAAATGTTTAATTGTCATCAAAGATGTAAATATAAACAAACTACTAACAGATATTTCGGAAAAAAATAGCTGGACTTATAGTGACTAAAGCTATAGATCTAAAACTATATTTTTGAAAAGCCCTTGAAAAATGGAAGTAGAAACATGTGTCACATCTTGATATTTGTCTAAAACAAAAACTTATTTTTAATATGATTTTTTTGCATTTTTCAACCCTCCCTTGCACCCAAACAATTAATGGTCTAATTTTGTTTTCAACCAGCTGTCCTTGAAAAATTGGGCTAAGAACAGGCATTTTAACCCTATACCTATAGTATAAACCCCCCCCCCCCTCAAAGCTATACATAGATTCAGACCCCCAAGCCTTTATAAGATTAAAAGTACCTTTGTATTTTGTAATACTACGTCTCGAATTAGTAGAATTAAAATTGTTTTTGAAGTATAAACATTGAAATAAGAACAATAATAATGGATTAATTGTCGACATAAAAACTGAAACGTTGAGAAAAAAAAATTTAGAAACAATTGATTATTTTAGTATTTTAAACAAACAAGTGCTAAGACTCCGGATCCTGATCAGCTGGATCCGAAATAATTCAGCTTCTCGAATAAGGAGCTGGATTTGCAAAAATATGCTATAAAAAGAAATGTGCTTACAATGCACACATTTTAAGTACATTTCTACTTATGAGCTTATTAAAATCTCTTAGATCCCTCTGCAAATCAAGTTTTAGCATACACATTTGACACAAAAAATATTTTTTTTGAAAAAATGTAACACTTGAAGAAACTTTATGAACTAGATCTTGATGTAACGGATCCAAAGCACTGATTTTATAAACTGTCGTACCGGTATCCAATAGATAGGGATTGTAGGAACTCTAACTTTTTTTTCGCCCTTGAAACCGCCCATTACAGTTTAATGGACGGTTTCATCTTATAGAAACCGACCATTACGGGTTAATGGGCGGTTTCACCTTATAGAAACCGACCATTTCGGGTTAATGGGCGGTTTCTACTTTATAGAAACCGACCACTTCTGGTTAATGGGCGGTTTATACCATATGGAAACTGACCATTTTGGGTTAATGGTCGGTTTCTACCTTATAGAAACCGACCATTACGGATTAATGTACGGTTTGTACCATACAGAAACCTCCCATTTTGGGTTAATGGGCGGTTTCTACATTTTATAAATCGACCATTTTGGGAAATGGCCGGTTTCCAAGGTGCAGAGCGGTTTCTGCCTTGATACACCATATTTTTGTTGGAGACCCCCAAACTTATCATTGAAGACCCCCAGATTATCATTGGAGACCCCCGCTTTTAATTGGAGACTCCAGATTTTTGTGCGAGACCCCCAGATTTTCGTGGAGACCCCAAAAAGTTCATTGAAGACCCCCCAGATTTTCATTGGAGACCCTAATTTTTTCATTGGAGACCTCATATTTTTGGTGGAGACCCCAAACTTTTCAGTGGATAACCAATATTTTCGTTGGAGACTTCCAGATTTTTATTGGAGACCCCAGATTTTTGATTGAGACCCCCAGATTTTCATTGGAGACCTCAAGAAATTCTTTGGAGACTCCAGTATTTCTTCGGAGACCCCCAAATTTTCATTTGAGACACCAATATTTTCATTGGAGACCCCCAGATTATCATTGGAAACCCCCAGATTTTCATTAGAGACCCCAGCTATTTGTTACAGACCCCCAGATTTTCATTAGATACCCAATAAATTCATAGGAGATTCCAGATTTTCTTTGAAGACCCCAGAATTTTATGGGAGACCCAACGATTTAAATTGGAGACCCCCAGATTTGCCTTGGAGACCCCCAGGTTTTCTTTTGAGACCGCCCAATTTTTTTGGAGACCCGCAAATTTTCATAATGGACCCCAGATTTTCTTTGGAGGCCCCAAGATTTGAATTGGAGACTCCCAGATTTTCATTGGAGATTTTCAACGGGAATCTCCAATGAAAATTGGGGTTTAAAGCGAAAAAGTGTGGACATAAAATAAAAAAGTTATGGGTCTCCAATGAAAATATTGTTGTTTCTGACGAAAAGTTTGGTCTTCATTGCAAATATGTGGGGTCTTCGATGCAAATCTGGATGTCTCCAATTAAAATTGGGGGTTTCAAACAATATGTTTCGGTCTCAAATGTGAATCTTGTGGGTCTCCAATGAAATTCTTGAAGGTTTCCAGTGAAAATATTGGGGATCTCCAATGAAAATTTGGGGGTCTCCAACGAAAATCTTTGAGCTCCAACGAAAATGTGGGGGTCTAATATGAATTTCTTGAGGTTTACAATAAAAATCTGGGGATCCTCAGTGAAAATCTGGGGTCTCACATGAAAATCTACCTAATAGAAACCGCCCATTAACCCGAAACGGTCAGTTTCTATAAAGTAGAAACCACCCATTAATCCGTTATGGTCGGTTTCATATGAAGTAGTAACCGCCCATAATGGTCGGTTTCTATTAAGTAGAAACCACCCATAATGATCGGTTTTGATAAAGTAGAAACCACACGTAATGGTCGGTTTCTATAAAGTTGAAACCACACATAATGGTCGGTTTCTATAAAGTAGAAACCACACATAATGGTCGGTTTCTATGAAGTAGAAACCACACATAATGGTCGGTTTCATATGAAGTAGAAACCGCCCATAATGGTCGGTTTCTATGAAGTAGAAACCACCCATAATGATCGGTTTTGATAAAGTAGAAACCACACATAATGGTCGGTTTCTATAAAGTAGAAACCACACATAATGGTCGGTTTCTATAAAGTAGAAACCACACATAATGGTCAGTTTCTATAAAGTAGAAACCACACATAATCGTCGGTTTCTATAAACTAGAAACCACACATAATGGTCGGTTTCTATAAATTAGAAATCACTCATAATGATAGGTTTCTATAAAGTAGAAACCACACATAATTGTCGGTTTCTATAAAGTAGAAACCACACTTAAAATTCGGTGATGGTGATGGACCAAACCTCTGTAGAGTAAAAAAGTAGATGTTAGTTCCGCATTTATTGAAAATATATTTCGGTCTGGGTTGACCCTCGTCAGTTCTTGAGATTGTTTCTTCACAAAGATTAAAAACAAACAAACACACATAATGGTCCGTTTCTATAAAGTAGAAACCACGCATAATGGTAGGTTTCTATAAAGTAGAAACCACACATAATGGTAGGTTTCTATAAAGTAGAAAACAAACAAAATGGTCGGTTTCTATAAATTAGAAACCACTCATAATGGTCAGTTTCTATAAATTAGAAACCACACATAATGGTCGGTTTCTATAAATTAGAAACCACACAAAATGGTCGGTTTCTATAAATTAGAAACCACACATAATGGTCGGTTTCTATAAAGTAGAAACCACTCACTCATAATGTTCAGTTTCTATTAGGTAGACACCACCCAATAACCCGAAATTTCAAATGAGGGGTTTCAAGGGTGAGAAAGTGTATCTGACTCCCATCTGTTCAAAGCATCTAGATTATAAACCGGACTTGAATATGGCAAACATGTACCGTCATATTTCTACCATGCTTTGATAAACGTAATAATTTTTTTTCTGCCAAATAATATTTTTCTATTTATTACTAAGAAGTGCAGGTGGTAACTTCTTTACCTGAATTTATCCCATAAATATTTTCATTTCATTAATTATTTACATATTAATATATTTATTGTGATTATATGTAAACAATATTACTACAGATCTATTATGAAACAGTAACTAAACAAGAACTAGTAATTTGACAGTATCTACAAATGAAATGTGAATTTATTAAAATCTATCTAGAACAACCAAAGTATAACCTAAAGAACAAATAAAACTAGATTTAAAGCTAACAAGTATAAACTAGTATTTTTATTATTTATTCTTAAGCGAAAAATAATTACTAATATTGTTTTACTTAAAATTTGAAACAAAATCCAATGCTTTTTTGGAACGTGAATGGACTTTTACATTATAAAAAGAAATAATCAGATTTGGAAATGATAGTTTTAAGCATATTTCAGGGGTATATCTTGTATATCTTTAATCGAATTAATCTCTAATAAAGACGTATCTACAATTTTACGATTTTTATGATTAAATGATTAGGAGAAAATGTATGATTTTGTGAGGAAAATAAAATTAACTTCAGGGTTAAAAGTCTTAGAAATACATTTTCCTGATATTTACAATAAAAGCTAAATGTCTCTCTAGCTGCTGTAGTTGCTCTGGCTGCTTTCGCTACTGTAGCTGCTCTAGCTGCTCTAGCTGCTTTAGCTGCTCTGGCTGCTCTAGCTGCTCTAGCTTATCTAGCTGCTCTAGCTGCTCTAGCTGCTCTAGCTGCTCTAGCTGCTCTAGCTGCTCTAGCTGCTCTAGCTGCTCTAGCTGATCTAGCTTTAGCTGCTCTAGCTACTGTAGCTGCTCTAGCTGATCTAGCTGCTCAAGCTGCTCTAGCTGATCTAGCTGCTCAGCTGCACTAGCTGCTCTAGCTGCTCTAGCTGCTCTAGCTGCTCTAGCTGCTCTAACTGCTCTAGCTGCTCTAACTGCTCTAGCTGCTCTAGCTGCTCTAGCTGCTCTAGCTGCTCTAGCTGCTCTAGCTTTTCTAGCTGCTCTAGCTGCTCTAGCTGGTCTAGCTGCTATAGATGCTCTACCTGCTCTAGCTGCTCTAGCTGTTCTAGCTGCTCTAGCTTTTCTAGCTGCTCTGGCTGCTCTAGCTGCTCTAGCTGCTCTAGCTTTTCTAGCTGCTCTAGCTGCTCTAGCTGCTCTAGCTGTTCTAGCTGCTCTAGCTTTTCTAGCTGCTCTGGCTGCTCTAGCTGCTCTAGCTGCTCTAGCTTTTCTAGCTGCTCTAGCTGCTCTGGTTGCTCTATCTGCTCTAGCTGCTCTGGCTGCTCTAGCTGCTCTAGCTTTTCTAGCTGCTCTAGCTGCTCTAGCTTTTCTAGCTGCTCTAGCTTTTCTAGCTGCTCTGGTTGCTCTAGCTGCTCTAGCTGCTCTAGCTGCTCTAGCTTTTCTAGCTGCTCTATTTGCTCTAGATGCTCTAGCTGCTCTAGCTGCTCTGGCTGCTCTAGCTGCTCTAGCTGCTCTAGCTAGTATGGCTGTTCTAGTTGCTCTGTTGTGTTTGGTTTAAAATTTGCTCCACGAAACCTGATATTTCTACAGGAATACTCCGGGATACTCTATAAACACAATTTAGATATTAAATATTTGTTTTTTAGTTTATGTACTATTTACGCTGTACAGTGTACAGTGTAAATAGTACAGTGTACACTGTACAGGGTTACCCTTAAAGAACTGTGCAACTGCAGGTGTATTAAAAGATAGAAACAAGCTGCAGTTAACCATGATAGAAGATACAAGGCTACAAAATATACGATCAGTCGTCCAGGAAGCCTCATTCTTTACAGGTAACCCTGTAAGCCACTGACACAGGTAATTTAACAAAAACGTTCTTTTTATTCATGAATTTTGATATTTTTTGGAGATCTTCTATTCTGATCTCCTGTAATAGCTATTCCATCGGAAACCTTGCTTATTTAATTTTTAAGAATTCAAGTTAGATATCTTCACAATTATTCAAAAAATTATTAATCATTATCTTAATTTTGATTGAAAGTTTATCTGTTTGTTTTTTATAATAAGTATTTATATAATAAGTCTTTGTTGTGTTTATATTCCTCGAAGTGTCAGATAATGTTTCAAAGTTTCTCCAGTACACCTCCTCCTACAAAATAGATTATTCAGTACACTGTTACAATTTCTTCGGTACACCTGCTCCTAGAAAATAAATTATTCAGTACACTGTTTCAATTTCTCCAGTACACGTCCTCCTAGAAAATATATTATTCAGTACACTGTTACAATTTCTCCAGTACACTTCCTCCTAGAAAGTAGATTATTTAGTACGCTGCACTGTTACAATTTCTACAGTACACCTCTTCCTAGAAAATAGATTATTTAGTATACTGTTGTAATTTCTCCAGTACACCTCATCCTAGAAAACAAATTATTCATTACACGGTTACAATTTCTCTAGTACACGTCCTCCTAAAAAAATTGATTATTCAGTACACAGCACTGTTACAATTTCTACAGTACACCTCTTCCTAGAAAATAGATTATTTAGAACACTGTTGCAATTTCTCCAGTACACCTCTTCATATAAGATAGACTATTTTGTACACTGTTACAATTTCTCCAGTACACGTCCTCCTAGAAAATAGATTATTCAGTACACTGCACTGTTACAATTTCTACAATACACCTTCTCCTAGAAAATAGATTATTTAATACACCGTTACAATTTCTCCAGTACACCTCCTCCTAGAAAGTAGATTATTTAGTACACTGCACTGTTACAATTTCTACAGTACACCTCTTCCTAGAAAATAGATTATTAAGTACACGGTTACAATTTCTCCAGTACACAACCTCATAAAAAAATATTATTCAGTACACTGTTACAATTTCTACACCTCCCCCTAGAAAACAAATTATTCATTACACGGTTACAATTTCTCTAGTACACGTTCTCCTAAAAAAATAGATTATTCAGTACACAGCACTGTTACAATTTCTACAGTACACCTCCTCGTGGAAAGTAGATTATTTAGAACACTGTTGCAATTTCTCCAGTACACCTCTTCATATAAGATAGACTATTTAGTACACTGTTACAATTTCTCCAGTACACGTCCTCCTAGAAAATAGATTATTCAGTACACTGCACTGTTACAATTTCTACAATACACCTCCTTCTAGAAAATAGATTATTTAGTACACGGTTACAATTTCTCCAGTACACAAACTCATAAAAAAATATTATTCAGTACACTGTTACAATTTCTTAATTTCTCATTTGTTAAAAGCAACAAATGAGACGTAAAAATACAGTTGAAGAAAAGTAAAACTGCCCCGAAAACTTTTGGCCAATTAAAATTTTTTGCTGCTAAACTGAGAATACAAAAGTAGCAAAGCCACCAAACTGGCAAAAAATGTAGCAAATATGGAAATGAAAAAATTGCAGGGCAAAATTTATTAATATTTAAAACTCATTGTGAAGACGGGTTTTCGCTCTTCAAGCAATAATTTTTTTTCGACTCAAAATTATCTTTAAATCTTCATTCGAGTTTTCAACAATCCTATTGGAAATAATAAATGATTTGTAATTTGAAAATTACCGGGAAGTAGAATTTGTAGGATATATCTTTATGTATTGGGTAAACTGTTATACCCCCCGCCTGAAGACCTCCTGTAGATCCAAATGTTCCGAATGTTCTAATATAAAAACAAGTTTAAAATATTAATATCCACCAAAATTATCATCGGATAGAACAAAATTTGTAAAGTAAGTTCGTCGTGAATGTGTGGCAATTCCCCGTTGAGACCCCCCCCCCCCCATAAACCAGGTAAGAGTCGAATTCAACAATTTACAACATTCATTGTTTTTGAATTTTAGTTTATTTAGTAGTAAAAATAAAAAAATTCCATTTTTCAACGAAAACCATTTTTGACAAGTGACTTAAAAAATTAACACAGACAACATTTAAGAAAAATTCAAAAGTTTATTTAAACAAACATACAAATAGTTTATATCCTAACGTTTTTAAAATAAAATTGCTGTTGAAAATTGTGCGTCTTGGGAACTCATTAAAATATGTAGCATAACGAGTTCACAATATTTAAAACATTTAAAACATTTCAACCTTATTGTGTGGTCGCAAGACTTAAGAAGATACATATCCAGGCCTGGGAGCTGGTTTTCTGAAATTAAAGTGAAGATACAGGGAGAGTTATTTTGCACTTATTTCTTACAGGGGGCTGTAGATGAGCAGGGGGGTTCACTCAAATTATGTTTACAGTCCCTTTAACCCAGAAAGTCGTCTTTTATTTGAAACTGAAAAAAGCCACAAATTCTAGTTTCCTAAATCCTATATGTATATCCTTATCTTTCATGTTTCAAACAAAGAACACTCGATCTAACAAAATCCATAGCTTTATTATCAAAGTTATGCGACAAGGTGTAGACAGTAGGCCTTTAATATTTCAAAGTATGAATTCTGTTAGATCTAATAGTCAAAGTTTGATAGATAAAGATTAGAACATTAGTGTTTTTATAAATCATTCTACGAAATTTATCAAATTTAAAATAACATGGAACTTATTTACCCGGTAAGTTGTGATTATGAACTGGAAGAAAAACATCATGTAGATGAAGGAAATTATTTTTAACCCAGTCAGCATCATCACTCAACATTAGGAACACAGACTTGAACACAGTTACAGAATCAATTCTATTGTTCTTTTAGAAAGATAATCGATTAGAACTAACTATTCATCTCAAACTTCATTTTTTTAAATCATTATATCTTGGCAACCTGATAATGTGGACTCTATGCGCTATCAGAATTCTTAGTTAGAAATATTAAAGGTCCAAATTACAATAGGTTGCAAAGATACAAGGATTTAACATTAAGGATTTACAGGTGTATAATCAGCTTTCTTACCACCTTAGAATTCGGTAATTATTTTAAAGTTATTGCTTCACATTTGTATTTTGTTTTGGATAAAAATAAAATTCAAGAATTCTTCAATAAGCATTTTTTTATTTGTTTCAGTACTTTCCTTATGCTGGGAGTCGTCAAATCGTTCTCTAGAAATATATTTTAACTTTCAGGTTTTCAAACAATATTACAGAATTAGCTAAAACGAACAATGATAAAAATTGAAAGGGATTGGTCTTGGCTTATTGCATGCAGGAACAATTTTACATGAAATTAATATTAAGAATTTTCGATTTTTTCACTTCCTAACCCCAATGTCGTAGACAGCTACACTCCTAAAATTGTGGGTGGGGCGCTTAAATTTTTGTCCCCCCTTCCTAGAAATCGAATTTTCCGATCATCAACTGAGGAACGCAAAAAAAAGCTGCGTATTTCATTGAACTCCTATGTGTTACCAGTTTCTACTGGCGGAGTGGACAATGGTGAGGGGTGGGGGAGGGCGATATTCCACTTTTCACAATATTTGCACACATCTTAAGGGTATATAAGGTTATATAATTATTTGGTCTACACTGAGAACCATAGTACTACGGAAAAGTAAGACGACATTAAATCAATACTTAAGTAAATTTGATCTGAAAGTAAATTGTTTACTAGTAACTTATTATATCATTTATTTAATTAAATGGGTCTGTTTGCACTGCAAAATTGCTGTGTCTCATGTTCATTGGACTATTTAAAGTCATAACTTGAATTTTAAAGTCGTCTTCTTATTCCAGAGTTTTCTGGTTCTGACAGTATGTTCTGTACCTAAAAATATTCATGCTATGAAGAAGAAACATCTTATCCACTCCTTGAAACCAGTACATCGACTTAAATATTTTAATATAATCTTAATTTAGTTTAATTTAATATAAAATTTTAATATTATCTTAATGAAATTCAATTTAATTTAACATTTTAATATAATCTTAATTTAATTCAATTTAATTTAACACCAGTTCCTTTAGATCACTGAAGTTAAGCACACTTTTCCAGTGCCAGTAACTGGATTGGTATCCTGGCTGGTGTTCACGGGTTCGATTCCCGCACTTTTCACAAACCTTTGGTTTTAAATGTATCTAAAGGCATCATCTGGTTAAAGGGAATGTAAAGGAAAAATTAAAGGGGGTATAGGCTGAAAGCTAATCACTTTAGCTCTCGATCGGGACCCATGAAAGTTATATCTGATGTTCCTATCTCGAGAAATTGATTTACAACTTTGTCAAATTTATACGAAAATTAATATATATACAATTTTGTATAAAAGTAGGGGGTTTAAAAAGATCAAATTCAGCAAATAAGCAACCAATCTGAAAACGATAATATCCCAGAGAAAGCTAATTATAACTTAGGTTTACTCCAATTCTAATTTTATATATGTTATTTCTATTTTTTATAGATTTAATTCATAATATTATATATACGTCGATATTGCTTGACCAGAATTTCCACCAATGGCAGTGCAGTAAAGTGGTCATGTGATACAGGCGGAGACACGTGACCAGTATACTGCTCTGCCATTGGTGATAGTTCTGGTCACGTGATTTAAGTTTAAGATTTTCTAAATTTTACATATATGAACTTTCGTATAATTTTAACACAGTTTTATATTAATTTCTCGAGACAGGAACATCAGATAAAACTTTCATGGGTCGCGATCAAGAGCTAAAGTGATTAGCTTTCAGCCTATACCCCCTTTAATTTTTCCCTTACTGTCCCTTTAAGCAATTATGACCACCCGACGGATGTAGGAGGCCAGAGGGGCTGTCAACATCTCTCTCAGCGAAAGTGTGCGTGCTTTCTTCTCAACAAGAAAAAAGCTTGAAACGGATTGATCCAAGTGAAAGATGATGAAGAGTGGAAAGTTTGACAAGCAGGGAGAGTCTATGGTGGCTTGCTATAGGTATCTGGGGGACGGGGGTATCCAATCCGGGCTTACAAATGATTGGAAGCAATGAGTGTGATGTTTTCAAATCTGTAAGGCACCCAAGCCTCATTCCGGTATATCAGAAGGATTCCTGCACTCTACTATTCTCAGGCCTAAGAAGCCCTAAGGCAGCTGGAATCTAGTCAACCCTCTTCTAATAAATGGAGCGTGGATGGATGAATGTGCTGCCAGATTACAAACCCTGGCAGACCAATACAATCAAGGAACGATCAGCGTGAAAACCTACCTCTTTCTACAAACTAAGTTTTTCTTATAGAATTAAACCAATTTAGAACTTTTAACGTAACTAAAAACGTTCCCATGGTTCTTCCGAGTTCCCAAATTAAAATTTTAGGGAAATCTGTCTAAGAGTTAGTGAGTTAAGACTTATTATCGGACATTCAAATAAACAAACAGAGATTACTATTCTATATATATACCAGCTTGAGAGCACAGTGTTGCCCAGGGATTTTAGCTATTTTTCCTTATAAAAAAGAACCCACACAACTTATAATCTCAAAGCCAAGCGAAGATAATTCCCGTGGTTCTCCCGAGTTCTCTAATTAAAATTTTAGTGAAATCTGTCAAAGCGTTAATGAGTTAAGACCAGGGGGCGGGCATAACTCTCCTAATTTTGCCTGGCTAGGTTTAAACTGTACAGTGAAATTTGTCGAAAAATGTTTCCTTATGACTGAGTTGGTATCATAGAGTACAGTGGGTTTAATCCTAAGTACATCTATTTGTACGGTATTGAGTGGACAGTTAATTTTAATATTTTTCAACAATGAGATATTGTAGTGTCAAAATTTGTGTAAACAACGATGTATCATTTGTTATATTTATACATCAAAAATGGGATTTAGAGGGGGGGGGGGGTCAAATTGAATCTATGTAGGAAAGTCCCTGGAAAAAAAGTTTCTGGAAAAAAACAGCTGGAAATAAAAACTTTAGAAAAAAAGTCCGAATTTTATCAAGTCCTTGGAAAAATTGTCAGTGGAAATAAAGTCCGGTGTTTTGGATTCCTGGGACTTTTTTTCCTAAAATAGTGTGGGGGGCTGCCAGCCTGCCAATAAAGTCTCAGAAAATAAGATACCAGGAAAAAAAGTCCTGAAGAAAATAAATCCGAGGAAAAGAAAACCTAGAATTGTGAATCATTCATTTTCACTTGTTAGAGGACTTTTTTGTATAAAATCATACTGGAGCCAGAAAAAAGTCCTAGAAAATAAAGTCTCGAATTGGTAGGACTTTATTTCCGGAGACTTTTTAATAAAAGGACTTTTTTCCACAGGACTTTTACAGTGTGAAATTTTAGGACTTTTTTGCCGGAAACTTTTTTCCAAAGGGTTAAGGAGAAGGATTTTATTTTTTTCTCTATTTGTCATGTCTCATTTTTATACAAAAATCATATGGATTTGTTTTCTTTGCTTGAATATTGTAGTCTTCACTTTCAAACAATAACTTTCAAAACTGATCTACGAATTATGATCCCCCCAGGTAGAATTTCTGAGCGGGTCATTGTGTACAGTGGCTGTACAACAAGAAGTCTAAAATTCCAGATGCCCCCTCTATTACTAATATCTCGATGGTTAAGACTTATTATTGGACATACAAATAAATAAACAGAGATTACTATTTTATAAATATACTAGCTTGAGAGCCCAGCGTTGCCCAAGGTACTCATATTTACTCCCGCCGTTTCCCTACGCTTTGTCGTAAAATACGACTTTAGTTATTTTTCCCTATAAAAACGGACCCATTCAACTTAGAATCTCAAAACCTAGCTAAGATAATCCCTGTGGTTCTCCCGAGTTCTATAATTCAAATTTGAGGCAAATCTGTCAATGGGTTAATGAGTTATGACAGGAAAACAAACAAAAAGACAAACAGAGATTACTGCTTTATATATCTATGTATATATACATATTATATATTATATTATATATATATATTATATTCATATTTATATATTATATTGTATTATATTATATCTATGTATATTATATTATATAAGTAGTCATCTCTGTTTGTCTTTTTTGTTTGTTTGTCCGGTCATAGATTCCTGAGTTGCTAGTAATATATATAATTTAATCTAATTAAAGAATTGTTTACACCTCAGGAATGAGACCTATTCCCTTTTCAGTAAAATCTGTTCTTCGAACGTGTATACCAACAAATATTATCTCCTCCAATGAGTACTCTTTCCTAAACAAACAAAAACATTTAAAGGGACTGTATACTAATTTCAAATAACTTCACATTTCTAGAGTTAAATATTTGATTCACAACGGTAACCATAAAATGTTTGTAAGATCAAGAAAGGGTATATTCCTAGAGAACGATTTTTGGACCCCCCCCAGCCCCCCCTTCCTATCAATTTTGTACATGACCATTTATTTTTCAGCAAATTTATCATTATTTATTTTTTTGTTATTTAGGGTTAGGTTAGGTTAAGACACTTTCTGGGCCGAGCGCTGCGGCTAGGATGGGCTAGGGGGCCGAGCGCTGCAGCCACGGGTTAGGTTAGTTAAGGAAACTTTTTTTCACCCCCTTGTAAAAAATTGATAGGAGGGGGGGGGGGGTCAAAAAATCGTTCTCTAGGAATATACCCTTTCTTGATCTTACAAAAATCGTATACTAGGACAGACCCCAAGAAAGTATAGAGATCCCCATAATCCTTCCCTTAAAAATATTTTTTTCTATTGGACTTTTATGAGTTAGAAAACCACATATACTCTTCAACCTTAAAACATTTAATGGGTACCGTTGTGAATTAGGCATGCCAATGAATTGCAAATCTCTTGTTTAAACCCGTACATCTGTTCTAGTGAATTTCAATTAAGCTGTATTCCTCAAATTAAAATCATACTAATAGGATAGTTTTTCCGAAGCTAAAAAATACTGGGGTCATTTATTAGTCATTTAAATGACGAAATGCATAAAACTATTGAAGACGACATAACCATGGGGTTGGTCAATTGTAATACAGTTTAAGAAAATTATCTACTTTTTTAAATTTTCTAATTCATTAAATTATCAAACGGGAATGGATCTATTTCAAAAAATAAAAAATCGAATAACTTTTTGAAAAGGTATAGTAATAACATGTTATTCACAAAAAGAAACAATAAATATATATTTTGTATTTAAAAAATTACGTTTAACATAATTCGGAAACCAGCTTTCACTACTTGCAGATTAAGCTTCAAAATAAAATAAACTGATCTAAATTGGAAAAAAAACCTAATTTTTTTAAGAAGGTCTTGTCTTACAATCTTAGCAGCAGCAACTATATCATCTCTGAAAATATACGTTTTTAAAAAATATTAAGAATTATAATTCTGCAAGATCCTACAAAGAATATTTATAAGCAAAGTTGAAACTGTATTAATACTTTCATTACTGTTTCTATGAAATATTTTTTAAATAATTTTTATCTTGGCAAAAATATCACGTTGTAGTTTTTGGCTTGGAAAGTGTTGGACTCTGGAGGTTCTGCAGAGTACAATGAATGATTGTTCAAATATTTGGTAATATTATGGGGATTTTCGTAGACTTTAAAACTGTTCTCACTAGATGCTTTTACTGACTTTTGATTATATTATACCGACCTATGATGTTTTTGTGAAAAATTTCCTTTATTTTTATCTTTTTTAAAAAATTTAAGTTGAAGCCTTAATAAACTTTGTCAATGTTACCTGTGCAGTAGTTTTTTTTAACTTTACAAAACATCTTCACAATATCATGCCAATAGAAGGTTTTCATATAATCTTTTAAAGTCAAACATTGAAAAGTGTTTTACTAAATTTAAAAGTGTTCAGAGCTGGGTAATAATTTCTTCCACTTAATAAAATTTATAAAATTCCAACCTGTAAACCAGCTCCAAGGAGAGTTCTTTCCATACTTCAAGCTGAATCCAAACACAGTTAGGGCCCATCCAGGGTACTAGACAGGGTTTACCAATAAACATACACAGTAAGGGCCCATCCAGGGTACTAGACGGGGTTTACCAATAAACATACACAGTTAGGGCCCATCCAGGGTACTAGACAGATTTTAACAATAAACATACACAGTTAGGGCCCATCCAGGGTACTAGACAGGGTTTACCAATAAACATACACAGTTAGGGCCCAACCAGGGTACTAGACAGGGTTTACCAATAAACATACACAGTTAGGGTCCATCCAGGGTACTAGACAGGGTTTACCAATAAACATACACAGTTAGGGCACATCCAGGGTACTAGACAGTGTCTACAACAAATGACGTGAAAGAGCAAATGAACATTTAGCAATAGTTTTAGAGTAGATATAGCAGCACCTAACTAGACTAGCTGAAGGGCTCGGCGTTGCCCGTGGCAAAACTTATTGTGAAGAAAAAAAATCTATTTTTTAATGTCTACCCATTCGGTCCAGCCGTTTGGAAGGCCAGAGGGAACATAAATAGGAATTTTTTGTTTATTATAGAGACATTAATATTTATAATCACTCACCCTCCTCTCCAATATCTAAATATTGATTGTATCTGTATTTATGAACATCTTTCTCAAACTGAAACATACAAAAGATATTTTTAATCCTTTTATCTTTAGAAGTTTAACGGTGAAGACATTTGATATTTCAAACTACAAATTTTCTCTAATCAAATATTCAGAGTTCAAAATAATTATGGTTTACAGTTACACCATCAGGTTAAAAATCGCATACAAGGGAAAATTTGAGACAACTTCTTAACATTTGATTCAAGGTTTCTCGTGCAGTTTATGACGATCTTTGGAATACACAGTGAGAACCGGAAAACTTGTTAATAGAAAACTCAATTTATGACTTTACATAGTCCAATAAACATGAGACACAGTAATTGTACAGTGTAAAAATATCCCATTATCAAGATAATTGGTTTAATAAGTTACTAATCAAATTACTTGTTTTTAACAACATGAAATACACTAAATATTATTGTAATGTCATCTTCATAATCCACAGTTTTCTGGTAATCAATGTATAACCAACAAAGTTATTGACATTCATTATACTTGATTCCGCATTTCTTAAAGCTTTTTTTTGCGGAAAAAAAATGTAAATTCGACAACTGATATCGCATTAAAAAACCCTTCATATGAGATTTTTTTCATATAATCATTAATATTTTACGATAGAAATATTTTCTATTTTCTCAAATTTTTTATGTAAGTAAAAATGTATTGTTTTTTTTTAAGTTACCTGATGAAAATGATAATGCCAGGTATCCCATTCGCTCTCATAAATTGGTATTCTCGGAGGTTTGTAAGTCTCAAAATGTTCTACTCCTAAACATCAGCTGAAAGAATTGAACCAGAAAACTGTATAATAGGAAGACGACATTAAATCAGTTTAAAGTTTATTTGATGATGTTAAAAAGCTTAAAAATTAATTATAAAACGAAGTTGTGCTCTCTGCGCAATTGCTGACTTTAATGTACGTTACACTATTCAAAATGTATTAACTTAAGCGTTAAAAGTCGTCTTTTTACTCCAAAGTTTTCTGGTTCTTACTGTAAGAACATAATTCCAAGAATGAATATTTGTATCACTAACCTTTTTCTACTGTGAAGTAAGAACTATTGAAGGTTTCACTTAGTAGATTATATTGAAATGATGAGAGATACGGTACAAACCCTTTCTTTAATGAACATTCAAATTTTGAAATTATATATCATATTATGGGTGTGAAAACAAAGAAACAGCATGGAATAATTGTTGTCTTAGCTTTTCTTTTGATTAAAATTCGTAAATTGTGTAACTTTTAATCCGAATTATATCTGTGAAAGTTAACCGGGACAATTTTACAAAGATAAATCAGTTAAAATAGTTACAAATAGAAAATCACCGCTTCACAACAAGAAAAACAAGCCAATAAAAATTCATAAAAATCGGCGACAGATATTTTTTAAGGTGGTATTCCATTGAAAATTCTTAAAACAGACCTCACACGGAAAAAAATGTAATTCAACATACAGAGCCTCCCATATCGTATTGGATTGTTTTCAAGCTTTAACGTCAAAATACGCACAAAATACTTGAAAAACCTAGTATTTCCTGCATACAAATTGTTATACCGAAAATCGCAATTTAGAGCTATAAACGATCTAATATGATGTGGGACACCCTGTATAAAATTCATGTTTAGAATTCAGATATAAAGTTTAATTGCTCTAAAGAAAGAAATCAAATTTGAATTTTGTCCTAACAAATCACCTTCCGCATATACTAAAAGTAAAAAAACGAATTATTTTTTTAGAAGTGTTTTTTTTCAAATTTTTTACCAAAAATGTTGCGAAGACGACGATTTGGTTTCCTAACCGTGTCTCACAGCTACTCTAGATCCAGACACCATAATTTAGTGAACCTTGAGGAGTTTAGAGAACCTAGAGGAGCTTAGAGAACCTAAAGGAGTTTAGAAAACCTGAAGGGTTTAGGGAACCTAAAGGAGTTTAGGGAACCTAAAGGAGTTTAGGCAAAATGGATTAGATATGAGCAAGTAAGGCGTTTTATTAAAAAAAGAGACATTATAAGAAAAAATTTATGTGTTTGGAGAGAAATAAGAGAAATTAACGAAAAATACGAATAAAAATGAGGTGTCTTCCCTTTACAACAGACCTGAAATAAATAGAAAAAAATATTAAATTATTATTCAGAAAAGGGACGATTTTTAGAAAGGAAATGAGCTGAAAGAGAAGAAGGTTTTCAGAGAAGTGAGAAGAAAGAGAGAAAAAGAGAGAAAGAGAGAGAAAGACGGCTAGAATAATTCAGATTTCATCAGTTTACTGGAAACCCGGAGAAATCACGGTTCGAATAGAGTTCTTGTGTTATTAAACAAAGAAAACAAGGTTTAAAATGAACGGAGCTAATTTAAATAGATAAAAACTGTTAAGCCACCTCTCCATTCGTTAGGTTGCCACAACTTTACTATTCAATTATAATGTGTATTGTGAATAAGGAAAAAATATTTCTGATTTCTTATTTATGTGTGAAGCTGTCTTGATTACCTGGCCATATTATCACAGATAAGTTCTTTATCCAGGGATCCATGGCAATATGTTTGGTTTAAACTAAATATACGATTATACAAATATTAAAATAGAATCATAATAATCAATTGTAATGAAATTTATTTTTCATTAAAACTGAAGGCAGAAGTTTTAAAATGTTAATCCTTTCAAAATAATCCGTATCTCTCTTGTGGTCCGACGAGGTCCCTTTCTGGATGCCTTTACCCAAAGAGTGCTTGACTCATGGTCTTAATCGCTTTAAATTAAAATTTTCCATTCTGGATTTTGATTTCATGCTTGGTAGATTACTGATATCTTATACACATTTATTATTTTAGTTTTGTATCAAGTTTCCTAGGATCTTTATTTTTTTTCAGAGCCAGCAGACAAGAAGTCGGGGTTTCAATCTAAACACAAAAAGGAATATTTTTTTGACCAAAAAAGAAAGATTATTTAAAAATTCAATCTTATTTAACAAAATCGGCAAATTTTTGATGGTATGAGCACCCGATAAACATCTTTTTAATCTAGTTCGATAAATAATCTTTTAAACATCTTGGTTTTGATTTAGCAATAAAAACAAACCAGGAAAAAATATTTGGAAATTCTTGGAGATACATACAAAACTCAGTTTAAGCGGTGCTGCATTAGTTGTTAAAATAACTAACCAAACAATCTGAATTCTTGATCTTTTGTTCTGCAGGAATAGCGAGATTGAAAGTAACCTTAAAAAAATATTTTTTTAGTTTGGGATTCTGGATTTTAAAAATCGAATTTTTAACAAACAAAATTTGGTCCAGCCGTTTGGCCGACTATAGCTAACATATAGATATGTATCTATAGATATAAGCGAATAACTTTATTATATAGAACATATATAGTAAATACGATCACAATTAAACGTTTGTTACAAATTAGCTTTAAAAGAGATGATATAAAAAAGAAAAAATATAAAGGGTCGGTTTTTCTATAGTTCTAGTTCTAATTGCATAGCAGCTACGTGGCAAAAAAGAAATCATTAGTTAGGGAAATTGAACATTTGCAACAAAGAAATTGAGTCTTTGCCACGAACTCAAGTTTTCTGATCCTTTTATCTTTGCCACATGATGGTGTAAACCTTTAATATTTCAAATTTAGATTGATCCATCGAATAAAACTCATAGTTGAAATATCTAAGGGCTGCTACATTGGGTTGCAAAGATATATGGTTTAGAAAATCAGTGTTTTTGGTTAAGACTCATATTTATTTCTAATCCCTTATATCTAATGATGTTGTAAAACTGTGATATTACAAAAACAGCTAAATGATCTAGTAAAATTCTTACATCATCAGGTTGCACAGTTATAGGGAGTATAAAAATAGAGTTTGTGACAAGTGTTCAGTTTCTGTATAAGACTTCGTCAGCTTTCAGAACATTAAGTGCCCGGCGTTGCCGTGGAAGTTTAGTAATACTTGAAGAAGAAAAAGATTAAATGTTGTAAAAAAACGAAATTTTTTAGTCTATGTTACTCCCATGGTACTCTAGGAACCCTTCAAAAATGTTCAGTAAATTTAGTCCAGCCGTTTAGCCAGTTATAGCTGACATGTAAACATTGTATATATATATATATATGGGTTCACACCCTTTGCTAATGGTAGATGTCAAAGTCTACTACAGTCAACAAGAATGGGTTCACACCCTTTGCTAATGGTAGATGTCAAA